ATATTCGTGTATTACCTTATTGGAATCCATATTTTAAGTTAGGTTAGGTCATGAATCTCCTACTTTTTTGTATTATATTTATTATCTTATAAACTGGAGTGTTAAATATTTTATATTAAGGTTAATAAATTTTTAGTAAATCATTTGGTTTCAATTTTTTTTTAATTAGAATTGTTAATTAGTCACAACATTTTCATACTTTTTTGTGGCTAAAATGCAAAACTGATTGTAGCTGATTGTGAAAATTTGTATCTTATAGTAACAAATTAATCTGTAACTATCTTGTAGCTATTATAGACACAAGTTTAGTTGTGGTAATTTATGTATTTTAGCCACAACAATCGTTATGGATACTTGTGGATAATAACTATGACTCTGTGTGTGACAAATCGTGGCTATTGTAGCTACAAATGTAATCGTATCTATTTCGTGGATATTAGCCACAAACTTTGTTGTGGCAATATCGTGGTTATAAATCCACAAATAGCTACGAACCGAAAATAACTACAAGCCTATAGCTACGAATTTGAGTTGTGTATGTTCGTGGCTAAACGCAAAATAGCCACGAAATTATGACTATAATTACAATTAATTTTGTGGCTATTAAAAGTTTTTCTTGTAGTTAAATTTCAATTTCTTAATGTTTCAACAGTTGTCATTGTCCACCAAATTCTTTGACTTTATCCGTTATTCTCGTCCACAATTAAAGATATTCTCGTCCACCAATTAAATCTACCATAACACATCACCATTTGATGTATTTAATGTCAAAGGTAAATGTGTCTTTCTAGGTCCGGTGAACAGTGTTTTGTGGCATTTTTCAAAAAGTTTTCAAATTATGGTATTTTTGGAATTTTTTTTGAAATTTATGGCATTCTTCATAATTTTTCCTTAAAAATTTCGGTGAATAGATGACAAAAGTTAGTCATATATTTCAATCCATGTGATTTCTTGATTTCTTTTTAATATTACATCATTATCTGAGTTATTGATCTAATTTTATCACAAACAAAACCAATTGATCAAATTTAACTATTTGCTATGAATATGATAAACAACACCACGAACAAGATTTTCAACTCATATCTTCTTACGACACATATCTACGACAAATGATATATGTTTGTATCATACCAACGTTGGAAAACTTTTGTAGCCGCAGCAACACATGAAAATACAACAAACACTTATATATTGATAAGTTTTGCTTCCATTACTCTTTATAAACTATATTTTTTG